CAACACACAAAATAAAGACGGCGTCGTCTCTGACCAGTCGCTCGCTCTCTCGTGATGAGCAGCTCACCACGGACAGAGACCCCCCCCCCCCCACCAAATCGCGTGTCGCACATCAAGCCCCAGGGCACCCCCCCAGACAGACACGGGACCCGCCCGCGGTCTCGACCGTCGCCCCGCACAAAATAAAACCATTTGAGTGTCGCTGTGGAGAAGCGACGCGCAGAGTGAAACCGCGGGACCGAGTTAGTGCGCTCTATACAACACAAAATATATAAACTATTTAAAAAAAATTTCGATTGAAAGATTTCGTGACTGCAGGGATTCATCTTCTGGTTCTTTCGGTAAAGTCACGTAGAAGGGAAGTAATAAAATAATAAAAATGAAACATAATAAATAATTCTCAGGTGACCTGAGGACGGCTGCTTGCGTTGTGGCCGAAACGTCGTGAGAATTATTTTATTATGTTTTATTTTTATTATTTTACTACTTCCCTTCTACGTGACTATTACACATTTTTTAAAATTTCACCGACTAAGACCCCGCTCAGCTGCTACGTAGTTGTTTTTCAGAAGCGACCTGGCCGTCAAAAATTATCGACAGCCCGACGAAGATGCGTATCGTCACGTGGACATTAGAGCGGTCAAATACTCTGAACGCGTGACGTTGATTATTGTTGTGGAGGGGAAACCGGAGGACCCGGAGAGAAATTCACTCGACCACGGGGGGGAGAGAGACAGAGAGTAACGGAAACTCCAAATATACAGCAGCAGGCGTCAAGGGTCAGGATCGAACCTACGACCTCCCGCACACCAGTCGAGGTAGTTAACATCTCATAGCCACCGTGATAATGATGAGAGAGAGAGAGACACCGCAAACATCAAATATACAGCAGCAGGCGTCAGGGTCGGGATCGAACCGGCGACCCTCCCGCAAATCAGGCGAGGTAGTTGACATCTCCTGCGGACGCTGCTAATGGTTGCGGCTTACTGGACAAGCCGTTTGACTATCCAGGTGGGGCCGGCTGGCAAATCTTCAACTCGTACTTGCTCTATATACCCTCTGATTCTTTCGGTAAAGTCACGTAGATAGAAAAAAAAATAACACTGGTCAACACACTTTTTTCTGGGATAAGTATTCCAACGGGTTTAAGGTAATTTTGGGGAGCTGATTCCAAATCTGGCATCAGTTTTGTCTATCACATCAGGTTTTTGAGATATCAAATATTGCATTTTCAATAAAAACTGCAGAAGAAAAATATTAAATAAATGTGGATATCTACACACAATTCTAAAAATACAGCACCATATTTTAACACTAAAGCAATCACTGACTCGCAACAACTTGCACTCATAAGTGACAGAGTTAATTTCGGGTAAAATCAATGAAAATGGGGTATGCCGATAGCATAAAATGAGATGTGATAGAGCAAATCTGAGATCAGACTTGGAATCAGCACCCTGAAGTTAGTCTAAAACAGCTGCAAAAGTCCAGGCCAGAATTTTTTTTGTTGACCAGTGTAATAGAACACGACGTTCGGTCGCAACGCAAGCGTCCGTCATCAGGTGAGAAAGAATGATCTGCTGTTGTGGCTTTATATAGGCTCGGGAAGGAAGGGGGGGGGGGGGTTTAGAGTCGTGACTTTACCTAAAGAAGCAGAGTATGGATTCCTGCAGTCGCGAAAGCTTCAAATCTTTCGGCTCTCTCAGACGGCGTGACTGGCTGCAAATCGTAAATCGTTGTGGGTTTACCCTCCACCACACAACCCGGTGTTGCTGTACGAGTAACCCGGTGTTGCTGTACTAGTAAGCAGCTGGCACGCTTTGTTCTACGCCTCTATATAAGGAGCGAAACAGGTGGACTTCTCCACAAATCTGGCTGTCGCCTGATGAAGCTGGTTGTAGTTACTGGCGAAACGTCGTACTCAGATTGTAAATGTTGTGGCTTGGCTCTCCAACGCACCGGTGATGCTGTACTAGTGACGAATTGGCCACGTTCTGTTTACGTGACAAACCTTACTAATTGGCTGTGTCGGGTGGTGGCGGGTTTATATTGAAGCGACATAACCCGAAACAAGCTGATGGGTGGTATTGGTCGGTAAATCCTGCTGCTACTGCGTGTTAAAGTGGCCGCACGAGCCATCAACAGCACGGAGCTGCACTTTTACCTTTGCCGCTGCTGCTGCTGTCTGCGTCGATATCGTGGTGAGGCTGTCTGGAGCGTGAGTCGGGGGTGAGTAGGGGGGCTCAAGGGGGTCTCGTGACGTACGACCGTGACTAGGGGGTGAGTAGGGGGGCTCAAGGGGGTCTCGTGACGCACGGGGGTGAGTAGGCGGTGAGTAGGGGGGCTCAAGGGGGTCTCGTGACGTACGACGTGAGTAGGGGGTGAGTAGGGGGGCTCAAGGGGGTCTCGTGACGTACAACCGTGAGTCGGGGGTGAGTAGGGGGGCTCAAGGGGGTCTCGTGACGCACGGCCGTGAGTAGGAAGTGAGTAGGGGGGCTCAAGGGGGTCTCGTGACGTACGGGGGTGAGTAGGGGGTGAGTCGGGGGTGAGTAGGGGGGCTCAAGGAGGTCTCGTGACGCACGGGGGTGAGTCGGGGTGATTAGGGGGGGGGATCAAGGGGGTCTCGTGACGCACGGCCGTGAGTAGAAAGTGAGTAGGGGGGCTCAAGGGGGTCTCGTGACACACGACCGTGAGTCACGGGAGCAAGGTGCAACGTGTTATCGGTTTTTTTGACTGAATATCCGTGAATGTATAGTTACGGAGTGCATGCGTTTGTAACCATTGAAGGAGTTTGGCGTTTAATGGCTAATGTTGGGTAACTCCTCGTGCGCCTATTTAAATATTGGTAATCGGATTAAAATGTTAATTCTCATCATGGTGTAAACAAGGCGGAGGGGTCCTCCAACTGTTATCGTCCTCTCTGTCTCTCGACTGGCCTCTATCCATAAGCTATGAGGTAGGGCCTTTGTCCGAAACGTCGCCTATTATGAATATATTATTTATTTTGAGAGCCACAGTGTAATTCACAGTCGAGTTTGCTCACTCACAGCCCGTTTCTTTGTTTGTTCATGAGTGGTAACCGCGTGAAATAAACTCGTCATGTAACCGAATAAAACCGGTTTTCTCACTTACTGAAACGTCTAGAGCAGCGGTTGGTCACCAAAATAACAATAAGAGACGTTGTTGTTGTTTTAGTCTTTGACCAAAATAGTTCACAGAGAGCCGCATCACGCACAGAGCCACGTGTACACACACAAACACACAGACAGACAGACACACACACAGACACAAAGACACACACACTCAAACACACACAGACGGACACACAGACACACAGAAGCAGCGGGTATACAGGAGACGACAACACAAATTCTGACTTAAACAAAATAAGTGATGGACTAAACTACGTCTATTTAGTTTCTGTGCCCCCAAGTTATTCTTTAACAATACTGCACATTGTGTCGTCACCAAGACATTCCGTAGTGACCCATTCCATCGTGACCCATTCCCTCTTGTATTTAATACACTTTTTTTTATCTGTGCGTAAAATTCTGTGCGACCCTGGTGCGGCCGGGTACGGGTATGGGTAGGCCGTGAGTCACTGGTGAGTAACTGTTTGTCACTCATTTCGGGTAGGGTACGGGTAGGGAACGGTTACCCGTACCCGGCCGGGTACGGGTACCCATTTGCGACCCTGGTGCGGCCGGGTACGGGTACGGGTAAGGAATCAAAACCCGTTTGCGACCTCTGCCCTGCTGTGATGTTCAGCTCAGAATCTTCGCCACCGCTCAGAATCTCTCCACTCTCTCCGTCTCTCTCAAACGCCGCCACCACCGCCGCCCCACTCAAAAGGTAAAGACGCAGCTCCTGCAATTGCCTCCTCACGGCGCTGCTGGTGGAAGAACTTCCACTCAGGGGGGGGGGGGGGGGGAGAGCTTTTGACGGCGCGTTTGGAGATGATTTGTCATCTTCCACGCCGGGACCAGTACGGTCTTGGAGGCTGTAGGAGAGTTTACCCAAACTTCACCCCACCACACGTGACCTGCCGGTCATAGGCGAACCCGATCACACTGCTGCCGCGTGGAGTTTAAGAAGCTTGCCCCCCCCCCCCCCCATTGTTTCAAATTCCATGCCGGGAGATGGAATCGAAGTCCAGCGGGCTCACAAACCATCAACAAGACGGCGGCACCTCCACTCAAAGCCCCCGCCCCCCACTAAATAAAACATCCCCCACCCCCCCCCCCCCTCTCCAACACGACTCACAGTTGCACGCCGCTGATGAGGGTGCCGAACAGGCCGACTGCGCCCAGGAACTCGACGCGGCCCCGGGAGCGCACCAGCTGCTCCTCGCACACGTTGCACACTCCGTAGAGGACGGCCCCGGCCACCACGAGCATATCTCCCAGCGCGCGGTTAGAGGCTGGGGCGGTGGTCACGTGGGGGGCACGTGGGAGACACATGGGAGATACATGGGGGAAGATGGAGGGACACGTGGGGGTCACGTGGGGTACACGTGGGGGTCACGTGGGGGGCACGTGGGAGACACATGGGAGAAGATGCAGGGACACGTGGGGGTCACGTGGGGGCCACGTGGGAGACACATGGGAGAAGATGCAGGGACACGTGGGGGTCACGTGGGGAACACGTGGGAGACACGTGGGGGAAGAGGCAGGGACACGTGGGGGTCACGTGGGGAACACGTGGGAGACACGTGGGGGAAGATGCAGGGACACGTGGGGGTCACGTGGGGGTCACGTGGGGAACACGTGGGGGACACGTGGGAGAAGATGCAGGGACACGTGGGGGTCACGTGGGGACACGTGGGAGAAGATGCAGGGACACGTGGGGGTCACGTGGGGCACACGTGGGGGTCACATGGGGGAAGATGCAGGGACACGTGGGGGTCACATGGAAGACACGTGGGGGTGACATGGGGAAGATGCAGGGACACGTGGGGGTCACGTGGGGCACACGTGGGAGATACATGGGACACGTGCAGAGTTGCACAGGGGGCGCATGGGGGGACGTGGGGGGACGTGGGGATACATGAGGACACACGAGGGGACACGCGAGGGGACACGCGGGGGGACATGCGGGGGACAGTTTAAATTCTTTCTTCGGACGGTTGTCTGGGACACCCTCACTAGGCTGTGGTGCTGTTGCTGCTGAGGATGTCATGGATGTCAGTCTCATCAACTTGGTGATCCTGATGGTGATAACGATGGTGACCATGGTGATGATGGTGATGATGGTGATGATAATGATGGTGATAACGATGGTGACCATGGTGATGGTGATGATGATAATGATGGTGAAAACGACGGTGACCATGGTGATGATGGTGATGATGATGATAATGATGGTGATAACGATGGTGACCATGGTGATGATAACGATGGTGACCATGATGATGATGGTGATGGTGACGATGTTGGCCGGTCAGCTGTCGTCACCTTCGCCCTGCGACCTCCCCGTGAGGCGGTCGGCCCCCACCATGGCCCCCACGCCCACGAGGCAGAGCGCCACGGCGACCACGTGACCCGCGCGGTAGCGCACGCGCAGGAAGAACCACGAGAGGGCGAACACCACGGGGAGGACCATGCAGTCCAGCAGCTGGGGGGCGGGGGGGGGGGGGCGGGTGGAGAGGGGGGTGGAGAGGGGGTGGAGAGGGGGATGGGGGGAGGGTGGGGGGAGAGAATGGAGGGAGCTGGGGGGGGGGGTTGGAGAGGGATGGAGAGGGGAATGGAGAGGGGGTGAGAGATGGTGGAGGGGGGTGGCTAGAGGGGGGGTGGGGGTGGAGAGGGGGGAATGGAGGGGGGATGGGGGGGGTGGAGAGGGGGGTGGAGAGGGGGATGAGAGGGGTGAGGGGGTGGAGGGGGGAGAGGGGGGTGGGGGGAGAGAATGGAGGGGGATGGAGGGGGATGGGGGGGTGGAGAGGGGGTGGATCGGGTGGAGGGGGGTGGGAGAGGGGGGTGGGGGGAGAGAATGGAGGGGGGAATGGAGGGGGGATGGGGGGGTGGAGAGGGGGGTGGAGAGGGGGTGGAGAGGGGGTGGAGGGGGGTGGGGGGAGAGAATGGAGGCGGGATGGGGGGGTGGAGAGGGGGGTGGAGAGGAGATGGAGAGGGGGGTGGAGGGAGCATGGGGGGGGGTGGGGAGGGGGGTGGAGGGGGGATGGGGGGGAATGGAGGGGGGATGGGGGGGTGGAGAGGGGGGATGGAGGGGGGGGGTGGAGAGGGGGGTGGAGGGGGGGTGGAGGCGGGATGGGGGGGTGGAGAGGGGGGTGGAGGGGGGGGTGGAGAGGGGGGTGGAGGGGGGGTGGAGGCGGGATGGGGGGGTGGAGAGGGGGGTGGAGGGGGGAATGGAGGGGGGATGGGGGGTGGAGAGGGGGGATCGAGAGGGGGTGGAGGGGGGGATGGAGGTGAGGGGGTGGAGGGGACAGAGGTTTAAGCACCACGATGTTCACTTCAACCTTAACCGAGCAACTCGTCACCGTGACCCTCCGCCGCTCCCTCTGCGCGTGCGCTCAGCCCGGCAAAAGCCGCGTGCGTACACTTTGTTTGTAACGACATGGATCACGACAGCGCGTCAATCACGACGCTCGGACACTCCGGATGTCAGCGTCCACCCCCCCAGGCATATCCGAGTCACAAGTCTGGATGACAACCTCTTGATGGCTGTGGTATCCGAAATGGCTCCGTGCCCCCCACCCACCCCCTCTCCCGGGCATGCCGCCCCCCTCCCATCCTCCCCAAATCTAACACCCCCCCCTCCTATCCCAAACTCGTATCCCTCCCCATCCCTGCACCCCTCCACCCCCAGCCCTGCCTCCACCCCTCCCCTCAGGGCCCCTCCATCTACTTCCCCACCCCCCCCGATCTCAACCACGAACCCCTCTCGTCTCCCAATTCCCCCACCCACCCACCCACCCACCCCTACTCCAACACCCCCCCCCCCTCTTCTGTTCCCCCAATCATCGTGACCCACTGGAGGAAGCCAATGAGCATTAGAGCGCTTTTTCACAGACGTCCCGACCCTGACGCCTGCTGCTGTATATTTAGAGTTTGTGTGTCTCTCTCTCATCATCATCACCGCGGTGGCTAGGAGATGTTAACTACCTCGCCTGGTGTACAGGAGGTCGTGGGTTCGATCCCGACCCTGACGCCTGCTGCTGTATATTTGGAGTTTGTCTCTCTCTCATCATCATTACGGTGGCTAGGAGATGTTAACTACCTCGCCTGGTATACAGGAGGTCGTGGGTTCGATCCCGACCCTGACGCCTGCTGCTGTATATTTGGAGTTTGTCTCTCTCTCATCATCATCACGGTGGCTAGGAGATGTTAACTACCTCGCCTGGTATACAGGAGGTCGTGGGTTCGATCACGACCCTGACGCCTGCTGTATATTTGGAGTTTGTGTGCGTGTCTCTCTCATCATCATTACGATGGCTAAGATATGTTAACTACCTCGCCTGGTATACAGGAGGTCGTGGGTTCAATCACGACTCTGACGCCTGCTGTATTTTTGGAGTTTGCGGTGTCTCTCTCCCCGTGGTCGCGTGGATTTTTCTCCGGGTCCTCCAGTTTTAAAATGTTAAAAACACGTGTTTAGAGTAGTTGTCTGCTATACATTTCCACACGACGACGATGAGCCACTTCGTTGGGCTATCACTTGTGGGCAGGTCCCTTCTGCAAAGGAGCCACACAGCTCAGTGGGGCTTACCTGGTAAAATAAAAATAGTTTAGATATAAGTTCTCCTTCAGTCGTCTCGTTCCCACACCTCCCTAAACCTACACGCTGGTGAGTGTGGTGTACAGGTGCGTCTTAACGACTAGGTAGTACCTGCACGCTGGTGAGTGTGGTGTACAAGTACGTCTTAACCACCAGGTAGTACCTGCACGCTAGTGAGTGTGGTGTGCAGGTACGTCTTCACTACCAGGTAATACCTGCACGCTTGTGAGTGTGGTGTACTGGTAGGCCTTCACGACCAGGTAGTTCGCCTCCACGTCCACCAGGGCCAGCAACGCGTACTTCCAGCCACGAGCCCTCAGCACGTCCAGCAAGTTCCCGTCGTCTGCGCGATAGACGGTGAGAGGTGTGAGTGGGGTGAGTTTGATGGTGAGGTGTGGGTGGGGTGAGTTGGATGGTGAGGTGTGGGTGGGGTGAGTTGGATGGTGAGGTGTGGGTGGAGTGAGTTTGATGGTGAGGTGTGGGTGGGGTGAGTTGGATGGTGAGGTGTGGGTGGGGTGAGTGGGATGGTGAAGTGTGGGTGGGGTGAGTTGGATGGTGAGGTGTGGGTGGGGTGAGTGGGATGGTGAGGTGTGGGTGGGGTGAGTTGGATGGTGAGGTGTGGGTGGAGTGAGTTGGATGGTGAGGTGTGGGTGGGGTGAGTTGGATGGTGAGGTGTGGGTGGGGTGAGTTGGATGGTGAGGTGTGGGTGGGGTGAGTGGGATGGTGAGGTGTGGGTGGAGTGAGTTGGATGGTGAGGTGTGGGTGGGGTGAGTTGGATGGTGAGGAGTGGGTGGAGTGAGTTGGATGGTGAGGTGTGGGTGGAGCGAGTTGGATGGTGAGGTGTGGGTGGGGCGAGTTGGATGGTGAGGTGTGGGTGGGGTGAGTTGGATGGTGAGGTGTGGGTGGGGTGAGTTGGATGGTGAGGTGTGGGTGGGGTGAGTTTGATGGTGAGGTGTGGGTGGGGTGAGTTGGATGGTGAGGAGTGGGTGGAGTGAGTTGGATGGTGAGGTGTGGGTGGAGTGAGTTGGATGGTGAGGTGTGGGTGGAGCGAGTTGGATGGTGAGGTGTGGGTGGGGCGAGTTGGATGGTGAGGTGTGGGTGGGGTGAGTTGGATGGTGAGGTGTGGGTGGGGTGAGTTGGATGGTGAGGTGTGGGTGGGGTGAGTTGGATGGTGAGGTGTGGGTGGAGTGAGTTGGATGGTGAGGTGTGGGTGGAGTGAGTTGGATGGTGAGGTGTGAGTGGGGTGAGTTGGGTGGTGAGGTGTGGGTGGAGTGAGTTGGATGGTGAGGTGTGCGTGGGGTGAGTTGGGTGGTGAGGTGTGGGTGGGGAGAGTTGGATGGTGAGGTGTGCGTGGGGTGAGTTCGGTGGTGAGGTGTGGGTGGGGAGAGTTGGATGGTGAGGTGTGGGTGGAGTGAGTGGGATGGTGAGGTGTGGGTGTGGTGAGTGGGATGGTGAGGTGTGGGTGGGGAGAGTGGGATGGTGAGGTGTGCGTGGGGTGAGTTGGGTGGTGAGGTGTGGGTGGGGAGAGTTGGATGGTGAGGTGTGGGTGGGGTGAGTTGGATGGTGAGGTGTGGGTGGGGCGAGTTGGATGGTGAGGTGTGGGTGGAGTGAGTTTGATGGTGAGGTGTGGGTGGAGCGAGTTGGATGGTGAGGTGTGGGTGGGGTGAGTTGGATGGTGAGGTGTGGGAGGGGTGAGTGGGATGGTGAGTTGTGGGAGGGGTGAGTGGGATGGTGAGGTGTGGGTGGGGTGAATTGGGTGGTGAGGTGTGCGTTGGGTGAGTTTGATGGTGAGGTGTGCGTGGGGTGAGTGGGATGGTGAGTTGTGGGAGGGGTGAGTGGGATGGTGAGGTGTGGGTGGAGTGAGTTTGATGGTGAGGTATGGGTGGAGTGAGTTGGATGGTGAGGTGTCGGTGGGGCGAGTTGGATGGTGAGGTGTGCGTTGGGTGAGTTTGATGGTGAGGTGTGCGTGGGGTGAGTGGGATGGTGAGGTGTGGGTGGGGTGAGTTGGATGGTGAGGTGTGGGTGGGGTGAGTTGGATGGTGAGGTGTGGGTGGGGCGAGTTGGATGGTGTGGTGTGGGTGGGGTGAGTTTGATGGTGAGGTGTGCGTGGGGTGAGTTTGATGGTGAGGTGTGGGTGGTGAGGAGTGGGTGGGGCGAGTTGGATGGTGTGGGTGGGGTGAGTGGGATGGTGAGGTGCGGGTGGCGTGAGTTGGATGGTGAGGTGTGGGTGGAGTAAGTGGGATGGTGAGGTGTGGGTGGGGTGAGTTGGATGGTGAGGTGTGGGTGGAGTAAGTGGGATGGTGAGGTGTGGGTGGGGTGAGTTGGATGGTGAGGTGTGGGTGGGGTGAGTTGAATGGTGAGGTGTGGGTGGGGTGAGTTGAATGGTGAGGTGCGGGTGGGGTGAGTTGAATGGTGAGGTGTGGGTGGAGTGAGTTGGATGGTGAGGTGTGGGTGGAGTGAGTTGGATGGTGAGGTGTGGGTGGAGTGAGTTGGATGGTGAGGTGTGGGTGGGGTGAGTTTGATGGTGAGTTGTGGGTGGGGTGAGTTGGATGGTGAGGTGTGGGTGGAGTGAGTTGGATGGTGAGGTGTGGGTGGAGTGAGTTGGATGGTGAGGTGTGGGTGTGGTGAGTTTGATGGTGAGTTGTGGGTGGGGTGAGTTGGATGGTGAGGTGTGGGTGGAGTGAGTTTGATGGTGAGTTGTGGGTGGGGTGAGTTGGATGGTGAGGTGTGGGTGGAGTGAGTTGGATGGTGAGGTGTGGGTGGAGTGAGTTGGATTGTGAGGTGTGGGTGGAGTGAGTTGGGTGGTGAGCTATGGGTGGGGTGAGTTTGATGGTGAGGAGTGGGTGGAGTGAGTTGGGTGGTGAGCTGTGGGTGGGGTGAGTTGGATGGTGAGGTGTGGGTGGAGTGAGTTGGATGGTGAGGTGTGGGTGGGGTGAGTTGTATGGTGAGGTGTGGGTGGGGTGAGTTGGATGGTGAGGTGTGGGTGGGGCGAGTTGGATGGTGGGGTGTGGGTGGGGTGAGTTGGGTGGTGAGGTGTGGGTGGGGTGAGTTGGATGGTGAGGTGTGGGTGGGGCGAGTTGGATGGTGAGGTGTGGGTGGGGTGAGTTGGGTGGTGAGGTGTGGGTGGGGTGAGTTGGATGGTGGGGTGTGGGTGGGGCGAGTTGGATGGCGAGGGGTGGGTGGGGCGAGTTGGATGGTGAGGTGTGGGTGGGGTGAGTTGGATGGTGAGGTTTGGGTGGGGTGAGTTGGATGGTGAGGTGTGGGTGGGGTGAGTTGGATGGTGAGGTGTGGGTGGGGAGAGTTGGGTGGTGAGGTGTGGGTGGGGTGAGTTGGATGGTGAGGTGTGGGTGGGGAGAGTTGGGTGGTGAGGTGTGGGTGGGGAGAGTTGGATGGTGAGGTGTGGGTGGGGAGAGTTGGATGGTGAGGTGTGGGTGGGGAGAGTTGGGTGGTGAGGTGTGGGTGGGGAGAGTTGGGTGGTGAGGTGTGGGTGGGGTGAGTTGGATGGTGAGGTGTGGGTGGGGAGAGTTGGATGGTGAGGTGTGGGTGGGGAGAGTTGGATGGTGAGGTGTGGGTGGGGTGAGTTGGATGGTGAGGTGTGGGTGGGGTGAGTTGGATGGCGAGGTTTGGGTGGGGTGAGTTGAATGGTGAGGTGTGGGTGGGGTGAGTTGGATGGTGAGGTGTGGGTGGGGTGAGTGGGATGGTGAGGTGTGGGTGGAGTGAGTTGGATGGTGAGGTGTGGGTGGGGTGAGTTGGATGGAGAGGAGTAGGTTGGGTGAGTTGGATGGTGAGGTGTGGGTGGGGTGGTGTCAGTTTAACACGGGCGGACTTTCGCGACCGGCGTGACCATTCCCAGTTGATGTTTGGGTCAGATCTCCGCGTGCTTGTTCGTGTCATATACCCTCCTCCACCCGACACACGAACAAACCAACAGTGTTGCGAGTGCGTTACTGCTTCAGCACCGCGTGTGTAGGAGAGCTCCTGTGCGCGCAATTGCACCATTTGGTGCGACAAACTAAACTGTACTGTTTTTTTCCATTTCGCCAGGTAAGGCCCACTGAGCTATACGAGTTTTCAAGGTAAGGCCCACTGGGATAAATGAGTTTTAGATCTAGATTTTAAAGTGCAAAGCTCCAGTGTATGTATGTGTGTATGTATGTGTGTATGTGTACCAGCGGTGTCAAGATCGGCCTCTGTGGAGGAGGCTCGTGAAGGACGCTACTGGGCAGTTGGAGGCAGTTGCCCTCCAACAACAACGGAGGGCGGAGGAGCGACGCTCACAACAACGTGCGGAGCGCCGGGTGGCTAAAATACAGCAAGTTGGCACAGTAGGCGGCACAGGTGGTGCATCAGCCAGTCATCTCGGTCATCTCAGTCAGTCGACCCGTGGCACCTGGGTCTGCCCCGTGACCTCCTGCCAGCGGGCGTTCGACACTTCACGTGGCCTCAAGGTGCACATGGCCTGGCACAAGCGTCGTGGCGAATGGCGGTTGTTGTTGTTGTTGTTGTGTATGTGTGTATGTGTGTGTGAATGTTGAACGCCTTTGGCACCGTACGTAGCCAACCGTTGCTCATCGTAGCCGAGTGGAAGGACAACAAACTAAACACGCATAAGCAGTTGTAAAGAAACGAGTGTTCAGACTCGATGATTTCCAAGGGCCCAGCTCCCAGTGGCTTCCCAAGAGGCATTGGACTGACCGCGGCGCAGCGCCATCATGCCCGCGTACACGAGGAGCAGCAGTGCGTAGTTGAAGAAGCTCTGGAACACTGGGGTGTTCACGCCGTGTTCCTGCAGGTACTGGCTGCACACGCCCGTGCCGCAGATGAGTAGCGACAGCAGCTGCCCCAGAGCTAGGTTCAAGGCCAGTTCCCTGTAACATACATAATCGCATTCCTGTATTTCCTGCATTTCCCATAAATATGCTAAATTCCTCTTGATATGCAGATTATTTTGCCAATGCGCATTTCCCCCCCCCCTTCCAACCCAGCTTAAATAGACGCTCCAAGCGTGGTGGTGTTTTCTTTTAGACGCTGTCGCCTCGACAGACCTGGTCTTCACCTGAAGACGGCTGCTTGTGTTGTGGCCGAAACGTCGTGAGAATTATTTTATTTTGTTTTATTTTTATTATTATATTACTTCCCTTCTAAGTGACTTTACCGAAAGAACCAAGAACATACAGACAGAGGTAACCATCTGCCCGCCCCGTATAGCCTTGAGAACAGGCCGTTAGGGCTACTGCTGCTGCTCATGATGGATGAACGTCAGTCATTCGGCATCCACCTCTCTGTTCTGTCAAATTGAGAGGGGCGCGGGCACCCCCCCCCACCTCAAAAGTGGGACCCCCCTATAGCCCCCGCAGTCATCACGAGCCGTGGACGTGGGGGTCTAAAGCTCACTTGAGTGGTTGGTTTGGCGAGTTGCCGTGTAAGTGTTGGTGGGAGGGGGGGGGGCGTGATGGGGCACGGTGGCCATGAGATGTTAACTACCTCGCCTGGTATGCAGATGGTCGTGGGTCGATCTCCACTGACGCCTGTTGTATATTTGAGTTTGCGTCTCTCTCTCTCTCATCATCATTATCACGGTGGCTATGATATGTTAACTGCCTCGCCTGGTATACAGGAGGTCGTGTGTTCGATCTCGACCCTGACACCTGTTGTATATTTGGAGTCTGCGTGTCTCTTTCTCATCATCATCACGGTGGCTATGAGATGTTAACTACCTCGCCTGGTATACAGGAGGTCGTGGGTTCGATCTCGACTCTGACGCCTGCTGTATATTTGGAGTCTGCATGTCTCTCTCTCTCATCATCATCACGGTGGCTATGAGATGTTAACTACCTCGCCTGGTATACAGGAGGTCGTGGGTTCGATCTCGACCCTGACGCCTGCTGCTGTATATTTGGAGTTTGCGGTGTTTCTCTCCCAGCGGTCACGTGGATTTTTCTCCGGGTCCTCCGGTTTTTCCCCTCCACATTTAGAATCAACGTCACGCGTTTAGAGTATTTGCCTGTTATACATGTCCACGTGATGATGACGATGATGGGAAGCCACTTCGTTGCACGATCATTTGTAATAGCCAGGTCGGTTTTGAAAAAAACGAACTATACAGCAGCTTAGTGTGGGCCTTACCTGGTGAGATAATCTAAATACTCGTTGGTTCTTTCGGTAAAGTCACGTAGGTGAAAAAATAAAATAAGAATAAAAATTAATACAATAAAAAAAAATAAACAAACTAGAAATAACTAAATTAAATCACGACGTTTCGGAAGCAACACAAGCTTCCGTCATCAGGTGGGACAACCACAGTAAGAAACAAAAAATACTGTGGTGGGCAAAGAGAGCTGTTTGTGACAATCGATTATATCAGGTAAGAGGAGGGGGGGGGGGGTAAGAGCCAGGGAGGAGAGATTCAGGAGGCGGGGAGTGCAGTGACTCTACCGAAAGAACCAAAGAGTATGGATCCTTGCAGTCACGAAAACTTCAAATCTAGAATTATATAAAAAGTTGCGTTTATAGCCTCGTGTTGGGTTAATAACAAAACGGGCGACAGATTCCATGCAGTTGTCCATTAGCCACGCGGGTCGCGACGAGATACAATCATAAGTCAACGGTTTGGTTAGGCGGTGGAGGAGGCGATGCTGCTACTTCTGTTGCTGTGCGATCCCAATTGAGTCATTTGGAGGTGTTCTTTCAGCATTGGGAATGTTTGAACAATACCGGTGACATTGTCGTGTTTGGTTTAACTTTGTTGTTGTTGTTGTTTAAAACCACAGCAACAATAGACGAGTCCGAATCCGAAGAGAAAAAAAGAATCACCAGTCACATGACTGAATTGTAATATCTATGTGTGATGGGTCATTGCCCGAAACGTCGCCTTTCATGTTTCCCTTTGAAGTGGCGTTGAGGTTTTTTCCCGTCATATTCGAATTATCCCCGTCCACCCCGAACCACGACAACGTGGTGAGAATTTCCTGGCTTGACAAGCGTGAAAATAATCACAATCATCATCATCATCACGAGACGAGAGTGGACCCTGACCAAGAGGACTGAACAGTCAGAGACGTCGCGCACCGCACCGGTGCAGAGATTCCGTGGTGCTACTCTCACCGTGTGAAGATCCGTCGGAGACGAACTTGGATTTCTTGACCCGTAGGGAACGCCGTCAACTTCTTACTCTGATGCTGCTGCTGGCTTGATGGCGCGACCTCCACTCCCGCGTGCGGAGGATGTTGAGAATCGCTCGCTCCCCACGGGTCCATGATGGGTTATCTTCGGTACAACTAGCACCAGCAGCCACCACCACGAGCAGTCGTACCAATACCACCACCACTACCACCACCACCACGATCAGTCTTACCAATACCACCACCACGATCAGTCGTACTAATACCACCACCACCACGATCAGTCGTACCAATGCCACCACCACCAACACCACCACGATCAGTCTTACCAATACCACCACCACGATCAGTCGTACTAATACCACCACCACCACCACGATCAGTCGTACCAATACCACCACCACCACCACCAACAGCAGCAAGCACCACCACCACCAGTTGTGCCACGACCACCACCACTATCAGTTTGTTGTGCTAACCCCGCACCTCCGCTTAGCACGGCTGGCTACGTACGGCGCGAAAGAAGTTCATACATACATGCTAGTTCCACCACCGGCACATCTCACCACAACCACCACCACCACCAACAACCAGCATCAGCAGCAACGCTACTGCCTCCACCTCCACCACCGCCAGCGGCCAAGGTGCAAGTGGCTGGCTCCGAGACTCCCGTGGTGGGTTATAGAGACAGAGAGAGAGAGACCGCCCGAGGAGTCTCCAGGCCCTCGCCTGCCCGCCACCACGTGGTTAACCATTAGCGCGCGTGCACACGCGACATCGTCGTCGTTGTCGTCACTCATTCACCGGCTTATTGCTCTGGCACGGCGGTATGGTGAGCACGCAGAATTGTCTCGATTAAGCGTCCCTTCCGCAGGGCGAGACGCCCGTGTTTATTGTCTAAGAGATGCGTATTGAGGTCGTCGTATATCGAAGTTGAGAAGGGAACGCTCAAGCGACACAGAGAGGCCAGAGAGCTAAGGTCCCTCCCTCCCTCCCCTTCTTCCAGCAAGTGGCGTGAGCGGGGAGTTGTAGTGCTGCACCTTTGCTCCGTGTTCCCCTGAACCGAGACGCGACCGCAACACGTGGTGGAGGAGGAGGAGGGGTGGGATGAGTGATGAGGCTGCACGAGGTTTCAATCAGAGCCGCACGTGCCGTGCTGCTTTGTTTGCACGTCGGCGCTCGCAACACTCCACAGCAAACGGTTACCGGTTTTCCGACTTTTTGATCGGGTAACCGTTCACACGACCGGTTACGGATGACCGGTTTTTCGGACTCCCACTGAACAGACTGTACTATAGACTCGCTGTGGACAGACGCGGTTAGGGGCCGTCCATAAATTACGTCACGCGATTTTGGACGATTTTTGATCTCCCCCCCTCGTCACACGGCGTCACAAAAAGTCAGACCCCCCCCCTCAAATATGACGTCAGAAAGCTCTGCCCCCCCCCCCCCCATTGTAGTGCGTATTTAATGTGGCGCTGCACTCTGATGTTGTAGGAGAAAACATGTATTTAAAAAGTCTATTTAATTAAGTAGAACGCGTTGTCTATATTTATTTAAAGTTGTGCATTTTGATGTGACGTCACCATTTCTCAAACCTCCCCCTCCCCTCGTCACACATCGTCACAAATGTCTGACTCCCCCCCCCTAGGTGCGTGACGTCATTTATGGACGGCCCGGGAGGGTGGCAGCTCCCTCGTGCATTGCACCATCTCGTGCACGGTGTGAAGGGTCGAATGTTCGCAGAGAGCCGAGGGTTCTATCGTCATTGTGCACTGTCGGTCTGCGGGGAAGGTGCGTGATTGTCTCTCGCCACGAACACGCTCCCAATCCACGGGCCCCATCGATTGGTGGCGAGATGTCAACTACATCGCCTGGTCTACAGGAGGTCGTGGGTTTGATCCCAACCCTGACTGCTGCTGTATATTTGGAGTTTGCGTGTCTCGCTCTCTCATAATCACGGTGGCTAGGAGATGTTAACTACCTCGCCTGGTATACAGGAGGTCGTGGGTTCGATTCCGACCCTGATGCCTGCTGTATGTGTGTGTCTCTCTCTCATCGTCACGGTGGCTAGGAATGTTAACCACCTCGCCTGGTATTCAGGAGGTCGTGGGTTCGATCCCGACCCTGACGCCTGCTGCTGTATATATGGAGTTCGCGTGTCTCTCTCTCATCATCACGGTGGCTAGGAGATGTTAACTACCTCGCCTGGTATACAGGAGGTCGTGGGTTCGATTCCGATCCTGACGCCTGCTGCTGTATATTTGGAGTTTGCGTTGTCTCGCTCTCTCATCATCACGGTGGATAGGAGATGTTAACTACCTCGCCTGGTATACAGGAGGTCGTGGGTTCATTCCGACCCTGATGCCTGCTGTATGTGTGTGTCTCTCTCTCATCGTCACGGTGGCTAGGATATGTTAACTACCTCGCCTGGTATACAGGAGGTCGTGGGTTCGATCCCGACCCTGCTGCTGCTGCTGTAGATTTGGAGTTTGCGTGTCTCTCTCTCTCATCATCACGGTGGCTAGGAGATGTTAACTACATCGCCTGGTCTACAGGAGGTCGTGGGTTCGATCCCGACCCTGACGCCTGCTGCTGCATATTTGGAGTTTGCGTGTCTCTCCCCGTGGTCGTGTGGATTCTTCTCCGGGTCCTCCGGGTTTTCCCTCCACATGTAGAATCAACGTCACGCGGTTAGAGTATGTGGCTGCTATAAATGTCCACGTGATAAACCACTTCGTTGGGCTATCATTTGAGATATCCAGGTTGCTACATCGTAGTTCGGCGTAGCGGCAAGGAGCAATCCGACCACCGCGTGACACACGACGTCTTTGTCGTTACTGACGGGGAGCGGGGGTGGGTGGTGGGGGAGGGTGAATGTGTGCTGTAGGAATACAATAGACATTGTACCCTATCATTGTCATCATAATCGGCCGTGATCTCTCCACTCCTGGAGTCAAGAATGCAATCGGCCGATCGTTATCCACGTGAGAGACACGTGACTGCTGAGTCATCACGTGTTGATTGTGGGTCGTCACCTGCTTCTTGTAGTGTGGCGGCCGATTTATGCCCCCAGGGTCTGGAATGCTATCGGCAATAAACTGCAACTTGGATCACGATCTGTGAGATCTTCACTCAAAACTGCTCTAGAGGAGTTGTACACACACTAGCTGCCACTGCTATTCAGAATGGCCTGAAATAAAATGTATCATTGACCGCTGCAAAGTATGATCTTGAGTTTGATCTTTAAAGGTGCATTGACATTTTTTTATTCTGCTACTGATACTCCTGCTGTTATGGAGTGACTCATTGAACCAACTATGGCTGCAAAGTTTGGTAGTACATGTTATGTATATCGTTTATTGTTAAATTTTAATCACAGTTCACTGTTACATTGTTTTATAGCTTTATTTCGTAAACGTTTTGGTTTAGCCATGTTTGTTGTAGTACAGAGTTAGCCTGATAACTTTATTCTACATTGTCTTATGGTTGTTATTGTTTGACTTGCATCCCACTGGGATTTTTGCACACAGCGTTGAAGTACGGTGTTTTTTTCTGGAAGACTTTGCTGTTTTTTCCAGGATTTTTCTGTTGCGTGTAGTCACTTTAAGATGTTTCTTGTTCATGTTTTTGTTTTGTTGCGGTTGCACCCGAGTCAAGGGCCGCATGGCTCTCAGGGTTATGCCTAATAAATGAGCCTGAAACTGATGGTAGATGTGTGATGCCGCCGCCACGAAGCCGTTCAGCACGCGCCCCAGCTACGACCTCGCCACCACCAAGCGACGGAGCCGACCCCTTGTCCCCCTCACCTCACCTCACATTAACACACCCGCACGCATCCCCCCCCCCCCCCCCCCCCATAGAGCTCCGAGGGGAGGTCACCTGGCCGACCGGTTTTTATCCGAGAAAACCTTATCGGGATTAACTCTCACGGTTTTTGGCGATCAGGGAATTGGATGACCTCCCCCGTGCTACGTTGCGCCGCGGTGCTGCGATCAGCCTTAATATGGTGTGGTCGCGGCGTGGGGCATTCGGCCACCGCGGTTGAGGCGCATTTCCCCCCACACACGCAAGTATCGACGGGGCAGGGCAGAGGGAATAAGCATTGTGATGGAGGAGCATCATTAGAAAACACGCAACGCATCTGAACTGCATGATCAGGCACCCCCGCACAGGCAGCGGAGGGACGGCATAATTACGCTCGGGCACGCAGGCACCATTGTTAGGGGAGTTAAAGGATAAGGCTGTTAGTATAAATAACCTGGAGAGCGGGGTCACGCGGGCAGCCGTGCACAAATTCCCACGGCGCACCTTTGTAATGGACGCCGCCGCCGCATAATCTGCAATAACAAAGGCATGCGTGAGCAAGGAGTTAACTCGCGGAACATCCGATTACCATATCGAAGGCCCACGGTACGTGGGAAGGGGGTAGGGGCCTGAGTCCGGGGAATTAGGATAAAAGGGAGCGTAGCGAGGTAGAGCTCTCTCTTACTCCGAGAAGCCAGCGTCCAAGACGGCCCCCAGCTCTGCCCTCCGGACGTCCGTGCGACGTGTCGAGGCAAGCAGCGAGGAAAATCCACGGAACGTCGAGTACCTCAAACCGTGAGTAAGGAGGTAAACGTATTTCGTGAACGATAGATAGGGAATAGGTACAGGTTTAGTGGAACAGGCCAGCCTCGTCGACTCACACTGATTTAACATCTAGTTCCAGGTAGCAGATAATAAATCATTAATAGCGAAGCGTGGCCTCGCGTGATCTTGTCGAGCAGCGTGAGCGTGTGGGTGCGCTGTGTGCACAGTGGTTCGCCACGTGAGTGAGCGTTGCGCGGAGCTGAGCGTGTGGGTGCGCTGTGTGCACAGTGGTTCGCCACGTGAGTGAGCGCTGCGCGGAGCTGAGCGCGCGGGTGCGCTGTGTGCACAGTGGTTCGCCACGTGAGTGAGCGCTGCGCGGAGCTGAGCGTGCGGGTGCGCGTGTGTGCGCAGTGGTTCTGTAGTGCTGCGGCTCGCCTCGGGGGAGCGCTGCGCAGAGCGGTGCGAGAGTGGGTGTCGCGTGTGTTCACCCCGTGTGTGATACAGGTGCGCGATCATAACGCGAGTATTCAGTGGTGAGTGAGTGCCGCGGGGAGCTGTGTGCGTGAGTGCGCATACGTTCGTTACGTGTCGGATACGGATGCGCATTGGTCACGTGGTTATTCGACGTGGAGGCGAATGCCGCACAGGGCTATAGACGGGCACACGCTCGCAGTGTGCGAGAGCTGCACGTAGCGGTGTAAGGAGGGGGAGTGTGGCGTTTGATTGATGATGCTGTGCACACGTATGCTCGCAGCGTGGGAGCGCGGCGCGAGGCTGTAACAGTAGGGGCGTCGCGTTCGAATGCCGGCGAAACCGTAGCGGGTAATAGGGAGGTGGGGTAACGTAAACACAATAGGGGATGCAGGCGGGAGGGACCCCGGGGGCCAACGGCCCCCACAGATGCAGGGCACCGACTACAATCCCAGACTCAGGTGGTCACGCCCAGGTAACCGCGTTAGGAGCGGCGGAGTAGGGTGCGTCTGTGGATCGGGGGCATTGCGTCGGGACACGTTGCACGGTCTTCTCTGGATGTCCGAGTGTGAGCGAGCGAGCGTTGGAAGACACTGAAGGCTTTACAGCTCTGCTTCCCACCATGCATCCTCACCAGACATGCTCTGTC